GCTGTATGTCAGTGGTCACCAACCAGTAGATCACAATCGACTGGTCAATCACGGAGCCTCTGACAGTTGATTGCAGTCTCTGGCTGCTAAAAGTCCAGCGGCACAGCAGGGCTAAGGCAGGCTCCCTGCCAGCCCTGGCCCCGCGCCGCTCTCAGAAGTTGCTGGCACATCCTTGCATGTGTGGGGGGGTATGGAATCTTCGTGCACTGCTCCTGCCTGTAGGCACCACCCCCGCAGCTCCCATTGGCCGGGAACAGGAAACTGTGGCCAATGGGAGAGACAAGGGCAGTGCCTGCAGGGAGGGGCAGCAACGGAGACCCCCTGCCCCTCCTAGAGGCTGCAGGGACATGCCAGAAGCTTCTGGGAACCGCACAGGGCCAGGGTAGCCACGGAGCCTGTCTTAGCCCTGCAGCACCGCCACCCAGAAGCCACCCGAGTTATGCACCCCCGAGCGGGAGCCCACTCACCTCCTGCACTCCAACCCCCTCCCCAGCCCTGAGCCCCCTCCCAGAGCCAGCACCCCATACCCTCTCCTGCACCCCAATCCCCTGCCTTATACCAGAGCCCCCTTCTGCACCCAAACTCCCTCCCAGAGCTTGCACCTCTCATCCTCACCCCAGCCCCCTGCCCCAGCCCAGTGAAAGTGAGTGAGGGTGGGGGACAGTGAGCAACGGAGGATGGAGTGAGTGGGGCGGAGCCTCAGGGAAAGGAAGGGGCCTCGGGGAAAAGGCAGGGTAGATCCTGGGTTGCACTTAAATTCAAAGTGATCTCGTGCTTAAAAAGGTTGGAGACCGCTGTTGTACGTGGTAGATGGGAATAAAAGACCTTTCCCCTGGTGGTCCACACAGCACCTGCATAGTCCCTGTGCAGTTGGTTGCTACTACACACTTAGAGGATGTCTACATTGGGACACTCAGGAGAGTTAAGGCAAATCAACTAAAACCATGAAGTCAATGCACGTAATTTAAAGCACATTAAACCCCCATGTGGATGCTCTAATTCAGGGGTAAAGTGGTCGTAGTTCATTGTAACTTAATTCTCACTATGAGCTTTCTACACAAAAGGTTCATCAATTGATCTCTAGGGAACTCTGCCTTGAAACTGTAGGTAGTGTGGAACCACACAAGTTTTGCTACGTTTAAGCAGGTTCTCTCATGGAGAATTTGGCCCTGAATAAATATATAAAGTTTGTGTGGCATTCAGTTGTTGCAGAAGCCATAACTTTAAATTTCCTGTGTGTGTAAGATCTCACTCAACATTCATGAGTATATTTTTAGTAAAATAAAACTATCAGGAGCACAAGTCCGTGCGTTCTCATGGTAGTGTGAAGGCTTTTATTATTTCAAACATCAGCAAAACATGTGTGCAATCCCACTAGAAGAGTATGAGTCTGTGTGTCCCACCCACTGGTAAGTCACATAAGCAGCATCAGGTTGATCATAGAATCCTAGAAACGTAGGACTGGAAGGAACCTTGATAGGTCATCTAGTCCAGTACCCTGCACTGAGGCTGGACTAAGTATTATGTAGACCATCCCTGACAAGTGTTTGTCTAACATGTTTTTAAAAACCTCCAATGACATAGATTTCACAACCTCCCTAGGTAATTTGTTCCGGCGCTTAACTACCCTTACCGTTAGGAATTTTTTCCTAATGTCTAATCTAAATCTCCCCTGCTGCAATTTAAGACCATTACTTCTTGTTCTGTCCTGGGTGGCTAAGGAGAACAATTTATCACCCTCCTCTTTATAAAACAACATTTTATGTACTTGAAGGCGGTTATGTACCCTTGAGTTTTCTCTACTCCAGACTAAGCAAACCCTTTCCCTCCCCCCTCCAATCTTTCCTCACTGGTCACGTTTTCTAGACAATTAATCATTTTTGTTGCTCTCCTCTGGACTTTCTCCAATTTGTCCACATCTTTCCTGAAGTGTGGTGCCCAGAACTGGACTCACTATTACAGTTGAGACCTTGTCAGTGCTGAGTAGAGTGGAAAAAATATTTCTTGTGTCTTGCTTACAATACTCTTGGTAGTACGTTCCAGATGTTCGCTCTTTGGGTTTTTTTGTTGCAACAGTATTACACTGTTGACTCATATTTAGTTTGTGATGCACTATAACCCTAGATCCTTTTCTGCAGTAAGCCTTTCTAGGCAATCATTTCCCATTTTGTATTTATTCAATTGATTATTCTTTCGTAAGTAGTACTTCGCATTTGTCCGTACTGAATTTCATCCTATTTAATTGAGACCATTTCTCCAGTTTGTCAAGATCATTTTGAATTTTAATTCTTTCTTCAAAGCACATGCAACCCCTCCCAGCTTGGTATCATGTGCGAACTTTATAAGTGTACTCACTATGCCATTATTGGAACCATTTAGCATTGTGTGTGCCTTCGTCATTGTTGATTAGCCAGTTCAGATTTCACGTGTATAAACAAAACTATTTAAATAATTTAAGCAGAAAGATATTTGAGCAACCTCGTCGAACAGTCTCTTTGCTTATGTTTAGATCACGGGTCGGCAACGTTTGGCACGCGGCTCGCCAGGGTAAGCACCCTGGCGGGCCGGCCCAGTTTATTTACCTGCTGACACGGCAGGTTCGGCCAATCGTGGCCCCCACTGGCCGCGGTTCGCTGTCCCGGGCCAATGGGGGCAGCGGGAAGTCGCGGCCAGCACATCCCTCGCCCGCACTGCTTCTCGCCGCCCCCATTGGCCCGGGATGGCGAACCGCGGCGAGTGGGGGCCGCGATCGGCCGAACCTGCCGTGTCAGCAGGTAAATAAACTGGGCCGGCCCGCCAGGGTGCTTACCCTGGCGAGCCGCGTGCCAAACGTTGCCGACCCCGGTTTAGATATAGAGGTGTGCAAAAGTTTTTCTCTAAAAATGTTTCTTTTTCCTCCTAGAAAATAGCTTTGGCAACGAACAGGAACATTTTTGAAAGAAAATTCTCTTTCTTCAAAAATTGTTGAGTGCTTTTTGTTCAAAAAAAAAATCAAATTATATTTTGGTTTTTGACAACTGAAAATTTGAACTTTAAAGCTTTTGGTTGTCAAAACCAAAATTATTTTTGGTTTGTGACAAACCCCCTCCCCCCAAAAAAATTTTTCAAAGAAAAATGTTGAGGACTATGAAAAAAAGGTTATCTTCACTGAAATTTTTCACAGGGGAGAAAAAAAAGATCATTTCCCAGACAACTCCATTTGGAAAACTAAAACAAACAAAAAAACAACCCAGGTGATTAAACGTTCTTCAAATCTTTCATCTGGAAGAAGAATAATACGTTTCAGTTTAAGAGTAATTTTTGGAAGGGCTCAGAATAAAAGCAAAGGGACTCAACTGTTGGAAGATGTTGGGAGACCCTTATTAAAATTCTGCCCCCAAATTAAAGGAAAAGTTGGATTGATTGATTTGCCTTTAATAGTTTTCACCCTCTTTCGGAATACTGCTAAATCATCATACGGGGCTTGATGCAAATTATTGGGTTAAACCTCATAGCCTCTGTTATGAAGAAAGCCAGACTAGATGATCACAATGGTCCCTCCTAACCTGAATATCTGTGACTTCATAATATGTATATATTTGTAGGAACCGTTTGTTAAAATAGTAGCTACTGCATATGTACAGCTTTTCCTAAGTTTCATCAACAGAGAACAACTTCAGACTCAACAGAAGGACCTTATAACAAGAGGTCATGGACCTATTTCCTGAACATTTCTACCAACTTTAAGGCAATACTCTAGCATACTGAGCTCCTTATGATAGTAAGAGCCTAGGCAGTCATTGGTAACTCCATGAAGGAAATCTAAAGTTTAAATGTAAAAGATAGATAACAAGGTTTCTCATGAAGGAGGAGAAGAA